CTTACTTTCTTTATGATATTTTTTTTTATTTCTAACAATAGTTGTTGATTTATATCGTTATTTGTACATCGTGTGAAAAAGGAATGATTTTTATCCGCACTTTGGCGTGAATTTTAGTTTTTAAATGTATTCTAAATGCTAACAAGATTTAATGCCATTAATTGCTTTTGCATTATATATTGATAAATATGGAGCAATATAAGAGAGAGAGAGAGAGAGAGAGAGAGAGAGAGAGAGAGAGAGAATTAAAATCAAAATTAATTTAGAGAAAATTAATAAATTTCATATTATTATTAATTAATATTATTAATATTAAAAGTTATATAATTAATATTTATAATTAAACGACATAATGAAGTTAAACGTTAAAGAACATAAAGTACTGTGTGTATATGTATATATTAACGCGAGTGTATTTTTGATTTTATAATTGGATTCTAATTTTGTATTTTATATCTTTTTCTATTCATGTTTTTTTATTTATTATGTAAAATTTACATTTTTGTCAGCATAATAAAACACGATATGTAAAATTTATTTAAATAGAATTATATTCACGTAGAGATTAGATACTGTTATTGTTGAATTATATATAATTTTCAACTATCAATTATCAACAATTAGTCATCAATTAACTTACAACTCCCAGTTTTTAAATATTTGTGCTTGATTTTCACTTTTAAACTTTTAATTTTAAATCTCAAAAAAATGTCTAACATTAATTACAAATCATTTATCGCCATTTGGTTCTCCTGGCACTTAATTACAATCAACTACTTGATTTTTGTTTTAGAGACATTTTCTTTAGCGACTAGATTATATTCATGAGTGACATTTTTTTGACTGACTTCTTCCTTTTCTCAAAGGTCAAGGTCACGATGTGACATCGTGCCTTCACTATAACAGCATACTTGGATGAAGGCACGTCGACACATTCCAGTTACTGCCTACGTGTTTCCATTTGAGTGTAGTTTGTCCATTTATAATCGAATAGATATTTAGTTGAGGAAGGAAGAGAGGGAAAGAGAGAGAGGGAGAGAGAGAGAGAGAGAGAGAGAAAGAGAGAAGAGAAAAAAGTGTAGTGAGAATTAATAAACAATATTGAAATTAAAATGAAAACAGTAAATTATATATATGCAAAAAATTATAAATTATTAATAACAATTTTTAACAATTTAAAGTGACATTTATTCTTATTTTTATTAATATTTCAAGCCAATTTCTACTGATATTCTCAATTAGTACATTAAAATTTTTCATTTACTACTGTGCGATTGATACTTTCATAAATTATATATATTTATATATATATATATATATATATATATATATATGAATAATAATTATAATAGATATAAAAATATAAATATAAATAAATATATATATATATAATATATAATATATTATATATATATATATATAATAAAATATATATATAATATAATATAAATATATATATAATATATATATATATATAATATATATTATATATATATATATAATTTAGATATATATATATATATATATATATATATTATAATATTATATATATTATATATATATATATACAATGTGCGCGCGGGCGCATGTTGTGTGTGTTTGTGCGTGCGCGCGCGCGCGCATGGTGTGTGTGTGTGTGTGTGTGTGTGTGTGTGTGTATGTGTGTGTGTGTGTCATAGTTATATCGCGAGCGAGAAGATTACAGCAATCATATTTATTTGTACTAGATGAGATCAACATTCCAAAGCATTTGTCATAAAGATGATAAATATTTCAAATCAGAATAGTTATTCAGATGTTCTCGATATTGTGTACAGGTATCACTCGGTTTCCTTGGATGGCATTTACTCAATGCTGCCTTTCTCATGTTCATTATTCTTCCTTCGCGCCGCTATTTCCGAGAATTTTTGTGATCTTCAATTGCAGTCTATCCCTCATCCTTCCACGAATTGTATACATATCGACTTGGCGTAACATCGCATCGTTTTGTCGGATCTTTTCGCGCGGTTGTCAATAAGAAAAGAACAATGGCCGGATACAAATTTGCAATAAACTTGCTTTTTGTCCGTCGCACAAATAAAAAAATTTAAAAGATATATCAGCGATGTTGAATAATTATCTCTTAAAACGGAAAAGAAAAATAATTATAAGTTTGAAAATTGAAAGGAAAATTTCAAAGTTTATGCTTTCGCGCTAGCAAATCGAAGATTTCACGTTGTTTTTATTAGTTGCGCAAATAAAAAGAATTGGCTATGCTAAGGAAAGCTAACTGTCCCAAAGAAGATAATTTTGAAAAAGCGCTTAGCAAAATGTAACAATTGAAATTGAATTTGTGTAAACACTCTTCGAAAGAGGAATAGATTATCGATTCGATATTGAAAATGCTAATTTATGATGTATAAATGTTAATGCATATTTACTTTCGTAAAATGGATAATAAAAGAATCATTTTCGTGCTTTATCTTCTAATACAGTGATTCCCAAACTAGATGTTATTGCCCAAACTAGATGTTATTGCCTCTTTAAAAGCCTCTTAGAAAACTCAAGGGAGGGACTGGACAAAGGGACGATAAGGGCATAATAGCTGTATTTGCAATAGAGCTTTGACAATTAATTATTTTTAATTTAAATATTTTAATATATATATATATATATATATAACTTTAATAAATAAATAAATCGTACAACTAAATCAACTAACAATTTAGTGTTCGAACAGTTAATTTTCAAAACTGTACAATAAAATCAGCCTTTCATACTTTACGACTTTTTTGTGACAAAAACATACAAGTCGCAACTCTTGAACATTAATTTTTTATCTCATTTCTGACTACCTTTATGGAAGAAGGCAATGAAATATTTCTCTTAAAAGAGAGCATCAGGTAGAGAAGAAGTTTGGGAATTGCTATTCTAGTACAACTTTCAATACTTCACTTATTCATATTTATATTTTCAATACTTTACTTATCCATATTTATATTTATTTATTGCGGACTAACTGCGCTCCCTCTCTTTTTCTCTTTTTTCCTCCTTAATTTCGATCACAATACGTGAGAGTCGATGAATTATAAAGAAATCGTTGTAAGAAAGTACCCTCGTTACGAGCATAAACTAAATATAATAACTATCATAGACTATTATCTTATGCATTACCAGTGTTTGCTGATATCTAGATAAAATTATCTAGATAATTATCTAGATAAAGAAAAGGATCATCTTTATCTTTTCATCCATGAAAAGGATCAGCTTTATCTTTTCATCCTCTCTCATCCTTATCTTCTCAACTAGATGAAGAAATACAAAGTATCTTTATCTTTATTTTAGGTAAAAAATATTTGTCATCTTATCTAAAAATTGTCTAAGACATTATCATTATGCAAAAAAGTTTTCCAGGCAAGCTTCTAAAAATCTATCTAAAATATCTAAAATATATTTTTTATTTGAAAAATAATATTACAAATATACTTTATCTTGTACTTGTTTTGCTTAAATTTGTGCAGTGCATTAATGTATATTTTATAAAAATGATATATGTATTGTTACACGTTGATTATTATATTATAAATATATTATAAATATATTATAAATATAAATTAATAAATAAATGTTTATCTTATCATTTATATACTTTTTTATTATTTAAATATTCTTTAGGAAAAGAGAAAGAATATGTGTTTATGATTTTAATATCCCATTTATAATCTGCGTTCACACATTTCACTGCAATTTCACATTTTTTACAAATATTTATAGTCTTATAAAATAAATAAAAATATCTAGATAATTATCTAGATTATCGCAATTATCATCTCATCTTTCATCTAGATTAAAATCAAAATCATCTTTATCTCATCTAAGATAAATTTATGGATTTTTATCTTTATCTTTATCTAGATAATTTTAAAATTATCTACAGCAAACACTGTGCATTACTGTCGTACAAAACTGCTTTTTGCATAAGTAGCTAATCTTACCTTCCCACGCATCGAAACTTCCGTCTCGCTTCAGCGCCTTTCTTGTTGAGCGTGGTGCATCGACGCTTGCCCTTTCTCGTTTCATTGCGCCGACTTTGATGGGCTGTATCATACTCATTTTGTCTCTGTTACTCGGCCTCGTTTGCATATCTTCGGTCGCATCCGATGTAATTTTGAGCCTCGTGCCAAGTCGTTTCGAGCTGAATCCTTCTCTCTCTCTCTCTCTCTTTCTCTTTCCCTCATACAGGGTGTCCCAAAAGTCCAGAACCGATCGAATATTTTATAAACTATGCACTTTAGAAAGAAATGTTTCAGACAAAAGATGTATGGCTTGAAGGGGACCATCAGACAGTGGCAATAATTTGACCTCGGAGAGTCATTTGAAGGTGACGTAAAGGTCACCTTCAATTTCTTAAATGGAACCCCCTATTTTTTATTACATATTCGTGTAGCTTATCTCGAGAGCTTTCCAAAACACTATAATAATTGTTAATTGCAAATTACATATTTTTTTTTAAAACAACTATATATTTTCTTTACATCAATTGATTCCTCTCATTATTTTGTACATAAAAGTATTAAGGTAAGATAATCGAAAAATTAATATTTTACTAGATATTTTATGGTTTATGTAAAATTAAAAAATTATTTCAAGCCTCATAACTCGAAAAGTACTCAATAAAGAAATACTTTATTATAGTGTTTTGGAAAGCTCTCGACGTGAGCTATCAGAATGTTTAATAAAAAATAGGGAGTTCTATTTAAGAAATGAACGGTGATCTTTACGTGACTTTTAAATGACTCTCTCATGTCAAGTCATTGCCACTATCTGATGGCCCCCTTCAAGCCATACAACTTTTGTCTGAAACATTTCTTTCTAAAGTGCATAGTTTATGAAATATTCGACCGGTCCGGGACTTTTGGGACACTCTGTATACTTACATACGAATACGTACGAATACGTACGAATTTGACCGCGCTCGCTCTCATATACCTGCTCTCGCTCATCGCGGCGGCACATGCGGCACCTCTCGCTTTCACTCGCCGCATGGTTGTGCGAAGAGGAGGCTATCACGACTCACGACTCACGGTGTTCACGACAGGCCTCAGTATCCGCCGGAGAGTTGTCGGAGTTACGCGTTGCTTCTCGGTATTATTTACGCAACATCGCGATCAGTGTAATATCTGTCAGAGAATAAAAGCCTGAGTGAGCGCGAACGAAATTTTTCGTATAATAACACCTTTGTGCCGCCGCGCCAAAAGCGCGACAGTCGAAAGTTAAAGAGATCGCGCGGGAAAGGCACGCGATTTTAAAGAGGAGCACGAAAAAGCAAGTCGGAAAGTTGACAGAAATAATGACAGTTAATTGGTTCAGGTAAGATTATGTCATTAATCGTTGAATTGCTCTCGAAAATGAAAGTACTGGAGTATTGATGTTTTTTTTAAGTTCCCATCGATTATTGCAGACTTGAGCATCATGAATTAAAATTAAATTTTATTAAAAGCTTTTTAATAAAATTGCTTAGAAGATTATAAAGTTATTTCTTTTTTTTTTTTGAAAAAATGAAAAATATTGTTTCATCGGAAAAGCAGACTACACATTAGCAAAGGGGAGAGTTCACGTTACGTAGGAGATGATTAGTATGAGTTAACGCTTGTCAGGACGTTCCGGAGTAACGCGTAAAAGTAACTTTCTCTAATAATCAAACGATACTTTTCTCTCTCTTTTTCTCATATCATCCAATTGTGTTAGATGAGTGAGAGAGCTCATTAAATCTCGTACACGTACATTTCTTAGTCAATTAAATTTATCGTTTCAATTAAATTTAATATTTGCAATTAATTTTGGAAAGGAGAAAAAGATTTAAACAATGTATTATAATGGGAATGAATAAATTTTTTTTGTTATTCTTCTGCTAAAAAAAGAACTAAAGAAAAGCGAACAGAGGATAAGACCCGCATATAATACGCGAGTGTCAATCGTTGAAATAATTAAATGATTAACTTTGTTTTATAATTTCTATTGAATATTGAAAAATTATATGTGCGTTTTGTAATTTCTACTCAATATTTATACATGAAGATTAAATTGTTTGATCTTCATTTATTATACATAACAACCAGAAAATCTCGTTTTCATTCGAGAAGTTTCCTTCGAATGCTATTTTTCCGGGTAAACATTTATATTCAATATATGATCATACGATCATTCGCTTATTAATGATAAACAACAATTATAATGCAATTATGTATCTCTTTTATTGATAAGGATTAGTTACTAATTTGAGAAGATTATAATCTCTTATATTTCGGAGGAAGAGAATGAAAAGGCAGAAACCGTACTTACACAATTGTATTAATACACATACAAAATTATATATATATATATATATATATATATATATATATATATATATACAGGGTGTCCCAGTTATCTTCCGTCATCTTTCAAAGACAGATTCCTGGGATCATCTGAAGACGATTTTTCCTCAACGAAAATGTCGAGGCAATAATAATTTTCGAATTATAAGTGATTGGAAATAAGGGGATTTTCGTAAACTAAGCTTTGTAGAAATAAAATATTAACAAAACCACATTCTTCGATTAATTTTAAATAGAGTTTATTTTAGTTGAGTCTTAATTTAAGACTTAATTGCAAAGATATATGATGACAAAAATCGGGAATATGCAAAAAATGATGGTCTTCATTGACATTTTCGCTAAGGAAAAATCGTCTTCAAATGAGAAATCAGTCTTTGAAAGATGACGGAAGATAACTAGGACATCCTGTATATGTGCGTCTGTGTATACATATCAATATATATATATATATATATATATATATATATATATATATACAGAGTGTCCCAAAAGTCCCGGACGAATATTTCATAAACTATGCACTTTAGAAAGAAATGTTTCAGACAAAAGTTGTATGGCTTGAAGAGAGCCATCAGATAGTGGCAATTTGACCTTGAAGAGTCATTTGAAGGTGACATAAAGGTCACTTTCAATTTCTTAGATGGAACTTCCTATTTTTTATTACATATTCGTGTAGCTTATCTCGAGAGCTTTTCAAAACACTGTAATAAAGTATTTCTTCATTGAGTACTTTTCGAGTTATGAGGCTTGAAATCATTTCTGAATTTTACATAAACCATAAAATATCTAGTAAAATATTCATTTTTCGATTATCCTATCTTAATACTTTTATGTACAAAATAATGAGAGGAATCAATTGGTGTAAGGAAAACACATAGTTGTTTTAAAAAAAATATGTAATTGTTAATTGCAAATTACATATTTTTTTTTTAAAACAACTATGTTTTTTCTTTACAATTGATTCCTCTCATTATTTTGTACATAAAATTATTAAGGTAAAATAATCGAAAAATTAATATTTTACAAGATATTTTACGATTTATGTAAAATTAAGAAATTATTTCAAGCCTCATAATTCGGAAAATACTTAATGAAAACTAACTTAATTATAGTGTTTTGGAAAGCTTTCGACGTGAGCTACCAGAATATTTAATAAAAAATAGGGGGATCCATTTAATAAATTGACGGTGATCTTCACGTGACTTTCAAATGACTCTCCCATGTCAAATCATTGCCACTATCTGATGGCCCTCTTCAAGCCATACAACTTTTGTCTGAAATATTTCTTTCTAAAGTGCATAGTTTATGAAATATTCAACGGGTCTTCGGGTCTGGTCCGGGACTTTTGGGACATTTTGTATATATATATATATATATATATATATATATATATATATATATATATATATTAGCATGTATGTAGAGAAAACTAAAAATACCAATATTTTATATGTATATTATCAAGTTTTTTATTAAATATCAAGGCAAGATCTAAAAATCGGTCATTCAAATTTCATTAGAACATATACCGAGATACAAGTAGTGTAGGTCACAAATTAATCGGACGTGGTCATATGTTATATTAAACATATATTGCGTTAAATATTATCTCATATGTAGATAGAGAGAGAGCAAGAGAGAGAGGGGAGAGGGGAGAGAGAGAGAGAGGAGAGAGAAAGGAAGGGGGCGAGGGAAAAAGAGAAGAAGGAAGGGAGTTGTCTATTTTCGACAATAAAATATAAAAGGAGATCTTAGTAGTTTTCACAATCTTCAGCATCTAAAATTTTAAGGAATTAAAATTTATAAGGATTTAAGAAATAGGCAAAATCATTAATATTCCGAGATTTAAATGTCTAATTAAGAGAATTCTAAAATTGGCATTGTTGTCATATTTAAGTTGTATTCGAAACAATAATTTTGACATTTTGCATTTTAGAGATCTCAGAATTCGGGGGTTCAAGGACTTAAAGAATTTAATCCCTAGAACTTCCAATTTATGGATTTTAAGATAGAAACATCATAAATTAAAAATTCTCAAAATATAGAAATTCTGAAATATCAGAATTAAATGTCACTTGCATTTGTTGCAAAATATAGGATCCTTTATATAGCTGACATAACTCTTAAGAGCTGGATAGCTCGGAAAGTAATCTTTATCGAAAAATGTTTCGAACAAAAGTTGTAAGGTTCGAAGAGGCACATCTAATGATGACATTGATTTGACTTATAGATGTTTGAAGATTATATGGAAGTCGTTTTCAATTTCTTAAATGGGAACCTTCATTTTTCATTGCATATTCTTGTAGCGCATATTGAGAGCTTTTCAAAACATTATAATAAAATATTTTTTCATTAAGAACTTTTCGAATTATAAAACTTGGAATAATTTCTTAATAATCTCATAAATCTCATCTCTTATAAATTTGTATAAAGAAAACATAAAATTTTTTAAGAAACGATTTTAAGAAAATATATGTAATTGTTAATTGCAAATTACATATTTTTTTCTTAAAGCAATTATATGTTTTCTTTACGCCAATTGATTTTTCTCATTATTTTGTGTATAAAAGTATTGAGACAAATATTTTGAAAAATATGCGAGATATGAAAAAATATTTCAGACAAAGTTATATGGTTTTGAAGGAGACATAAGATGGTGTCATTAATTTGACCTTAAATAATTACTTGAAGGTCACCCTCAATTTTTTAAATAGAACTTCCTATTTTTTATTACATATTCTTGTAGCTATTAGTGTAAAGAAAACATACAGTTGTTTTGAAAAAAAAAATGTAATTTACAATTAACAATTACATATTTTTTCTTAAAAATAACTATGTGTTTTCTTTACACCAATTAATTCTTCTCATTATTTTGTATATAAAGGTATTAAGATGAGGTAATCGGAAAATGAATATTGTACAAGATATTTTACGGTTTATGTAAAATTGAGAAATTATTTCAAGCCTCATAACTCGGAAAGTACTTAATGAAAACCTAACTTAATTATAGCTGTTTTGAAAAGCTGTCGAGATAAGCTACAAGAATATGTAATAAAAAATAGGCGGTTTCATTTAAAAAATTGAGGGTGACCTTCACGTGACCTTTAAGTAACTATTTAAGGTCAAATTAATGACATCATCTTATGTCTCCTTTAAAACTATATAACTTTTGTCTGAAACATTTTTTCGTATCTCGCATATTTTTCAAAATATTTGTCTGTTAAGATTAAAATTAATCCTGCATATATACAGGGTGTTCTAAAAAGATATGTCAAAAATTTAAGGAGATATTCCTCACATCTGAAGGATGAAGAAATGTTATATGGCACATAAGTGCGGAAATGATTATTTCAGGAGTTATGTTGAAAATACTGTTAGCTGTATTACTTACACAAGAAAAAGTTTAGGATTAATTATTGTAGACGACAATCGTTTAATTAGGCTTATTTACATTTGGTTTTAATGTGACCTTGAATATGTTACAATAAATGTTGAAAATATTCACTATTTTCCTGAATACAAGCAGTGACACATCAACGCATCAATTCATGGACACGTTCAAAATGCCATCAGTGCGTGATATTCAAGATCTTCGTGACCGTATCACTGCAGGTTACGATACAATCCGCTATACGCCAGGCATTTTTGAACGTGTCCGTGAATCAATGCGTCGACGTGTCACTGCTTGTATTCAGGATATTTATTTTTAAAAAATGAGTATAAGTATATATATATATAGAAGGAGAGAGAGAGAGAGAGAGAGATTTGATTATTTTTTACTGTTTTGAAGCATGTGATATATTATGATATTTTTAAAAAATGAGTTTAAGTAAATATTTAATTATATATATATATATATATATATATATATGCATATATAAATTAAAATAAATTAATTAAAAAATCATTTACAAGATAAATTCGCATACTTTAAGATAATAATGATAATGGTTGGGTAATTTAAGTAATCATCTTTACGAATCGGATATAATT